ATTTTCTTATGACATCATTTCAAGCATTTATTCAATCATCACATATGTATTAAGCATCTATTTGGGACCAAGCCCGTCACTAGGTTCTGGGGATAGAAAAATAAACAAAAAAATTCTGGCTTTGTGAGTATATCCTCTACAGATGGAGAGAGACAGAGACAGAGACAAAGACAGAAACGGAGACATAGAGGCAAAGAAGGAGCATTGGTAAAATAGATGCAAAAAAAAGATAGTTGAATGAAGAGTGAAAAGCACAGATTACAGGGTTGTATGATATTGATTCGACCTCATATCACTCACTCACTGTGTCTCTGAGTTACTAAGTCTCTCCTGACCTCAGTGTCTTCACGTTTCAAAGGGGGATGACAACAAAGCCTACCTTATGGTGTGGTCCTGAAGGATTAAAGGTTAGTAAATAAGACAGTCTCAAACAGTACCTGCCATATAGTAAAGATTCAGTAAAAGTTACTCTTGGTTATTGTCACCGTTATTACTGGGAAAATAAAGATTCTGTGGGAAAGAAGGACAGCAAAGATGACATTCAAGGTTCTTCATGAGCCCATAGCTGTTGGTACAGGTATTAATTCAGGAGGAGGAGCAACCTGAGGCTAAGGAGTAAGTGTATTAGGATACAGCTTATGTTTGAGGGAATGGTAGGATATTCTAAAACAGTTGTCCAGAAAACAGCTGGATGTAAACTGCTGGAGCTCAGGTGAAGACGTGGAAGTAGAAATTTTATAACCTCTGCTGAGTGTGGTAGTGCACTGGGAGGCTGAGGCAGGCAGGTCTTTGAGAGTTCAAGGTTAGCCTGAATTACATAGTAAGACCCTGTCTCAGAAAGAAAGAAAAGAAAAGAAAAGAAAAGAAAAGAAATAAAGAAATTTCATAACATCTCAAGATTCTAACCACCCTTTTCCGGACACTTTTAATGCTCTTGGTCTCTAAAATTAAGGTGCACCTACTCAAGCACTCTGACCATAGCATGTACTCAACAGAACTTGCCACAGCACCTCAGATGTGGACAGACTGTCCTAGACCACATATGTTAATAGGAAAAGAGAACTTCTTCCCAGTGGTCAAACCAGTCAGGCACAGTGGCACAAGCCTAGTAGTAGCTCAGCTGCTCAAGAGACTAAGGCAGGAAGATCACAGGTTCAAGGCCAGTCTGGGAAAATTAGTGAGACCTGTTTCAAAATAAAATGTGAGAAAGACTGGGGATGTAGCTCAGTGGTAGGGTGCCCCTGGTTCCCATCCTTAGGACCTACCCCACACCCTAGAAAGGGCAATCATAGTTGCCAGCACTATACTGGAGGATAGGCATAGGGGGAGTTACACAGACCAGCTCTGAGTATTTACTACCAGTAGATCAATTATTACTGAAGTGGGTATAAAGTTCTGTTGATACAGGAAAAAACTGTTCTTCTTTTTAATATATCTTAATTCAGTCTCTAGTAAGAGTCCCCCTCCTATGGAGTGGCTGAAATTTAATTTCAATCAATTTGGGCCCCATAAAAAAAATTAAAAAATTTGGGCCCCAATTTCCCTTTCCCTGGGGTTGGGTCTCAGTTCCAGGTTCTCTCCAGGGGCATCAGGAAGGAGGTCTTGAACCTCACTGCCTTCTGCACACCTTTGCCTCCACCAAGGAGCCTCTCTGGTTTGCATCTGCAGGTGTGCCCCACACCGGCAGACCCATCCCTCTAGTCCCCTCCTCTCCCAGGGCGCTTCAGGTCTCAGATTCTCTCTTTCTACGTACCTCTCTCTCCATCCTCCATGCCTCACTGATGTGGTCACAGGGAAATGCTAGGGGCCAACTAAGGCTTGACTCACTCACACATCACAAAGCCCTGACCGTCACAGATCCTCTGAGGAAGGCTGAGTCCAGAAAGAGTGAGGGTGGGAACAGGTAGCCCTTTGTCAGAGGAGCGCCCTGCCTTTTCACCTGGTGATTCCTCTCCCAGACAGGTCACAAAAGTAGGAAAAATACTGGAAAACATTTCTTCCTGTTTCTAAATATTATGCCACAGAAGGAGGGAAATCTAATCTCCTCTCTCCTTTGCCAGATTCTTATCTACGTTCTTTTCATCCATTCTTACTATTCCCAACACTCAGAGCTTGGCGCTCTGGCTCAGTTGGTTCCTCCACCGATGGGGCTGTGATATCAAAACAAGATGAAACTCTTCGGAAAGGATCAGGTCAAGAACCTGAGCACTTGGGCAATGGCAGGGTGACCTGCATGAGCAGGGACAGTGCGAGGGTGTGAAGCCTCCCTCCCTGGCATCTGTTTCTCCTCTCTGTAACTCCACACAGCACAGCGAAGATGTCGCCAGCCTCTGTCATCTCCATGATCTGTGAACATTCCTTTCCCATGACTCAAGTTTCTGATAGAAAAACTCACCAGGCCTGAGCCAAATACTTAACTGTGAACATGCGTGGGGAGCTCAAGTATGCTTTTATAGTAAGAAGTATTTCATTTTGTAATGGGAAGCAATGTCAAGGTAATGTTCTAACCTCTCACCTCCAGTTACTTTCCATGACAGCTTGATCACAAGGATGCCAAAGGAAGAAGTGTCAGGTATTCGTTTTGTGGTTTATTTCCTGGATTTCATAATGCATAGGTATTATCTCCTGGGACTTACTGAGTCCAGGTCCCTGAAATATTAACATGGACATAAAAACTCAAAGCCATGCTCAAGTCTGAGACAGCAGTGGAATGGGAGGGAGGGAAAGGAGGCAGAATGAGGGGGTGCCGCTGGCGGTAGACAGGTTGAGATGGAAGAACGAAGGAAAACTGGGTCAGACAGCCTGGATCTTGCCCAAGTCCTGCCCTGCTTATCACCCTGAATCAGGCAGGTCATTGAACTTTGGTTTCCTGGTTTTTTGGTTTTTGTTTTTGTTTTTTTTTGAGACAGGGTCTTGGTATGCAGTTTAGGCTGGCCCTGAACTCATTATGTAGCCCAGGCTGGCCTCAAACTCACAGAAATCCTCCTTCCTCAGCCTCCTGAGTGTTAGGATTACAGGTATGTGACATCACACCCTTTGGTGTCCTGGCTTCTGAGTAGGGATCACACTAGTGCACTATGCCTGGTTACTGGGGATTTGTGGAAACTGAGGCAAAACAATGGAAGGGAAAGTGCTTCATAAATGCTCAGTCTTAGGGCTATGCATTTTTTTAATTAGGGAAGAAACCACTAAGTCTGCCTTCCAAACAAGCAACAAGCCTTTGTTGTGTATTGACTCTCTACCCATCTCACACATAACCATTCCCATGAGCAAGAGCCTTTGCATGTTCCTGTCCACCAGGAAGGTCTCTCTGTCTGTCTTTCTCTCTCCTCCCACCCCTCCTTCGTGTATTGGAGAATGAATCCAGAGCCTTTGCAGTGAGCTACATCTCCAGCAGCCTGCTTTATGTTTCTATTTTGAGACAAGGTCTCACTAAGTTGCCCAAGCTGGGCTCATGCCTGTGAGCCCACTGCCTCAGTGTTCCCAGCAGCTGGCGTCACAGGCTCGTGCCACCATGCCTGGCATGCAGAGCCTCTTGATTCAGGCTCTAATGAAATAGGAAAAATAAACTTACACTCCGTTTCTCTTACTCCATTCTCATCACACAGATCCCATCTGACACCACCTGTGTGGGAGTTTTCCCACACACACCAAGCAAGCCGTTCTCTGCCAGCTCCTGACACTTTCTACTTGGAGATGGCCTCACAGCCCAGAGGAGGAGAACTCAGTCTTCAAGGCTGCCCTCCCCTGCAGACGCCAAACCAGGGGCCTCCTGGACCCTTGCTTCAGCCTGACTAATTTGCTGGAGTGGCTCAAAGGACTCAAGCACACGCTTCTACTGGGTTATTAGGAGATGCTACAAAGAACACAAACGAAAAGACGCAGAGAGCTGTGGAGCTCCCGTCCCTCTTCTGGGTGCACCGCCCTCTGGGACCCTCCAGGTGTCCCACTGCCAGAAGCACCCCATCCCCTGTCCTTTGGATGTTTATGGAGCCGACATCACATACGTGTGACTAAGGCACAGACAACTCGGAGAAATGTGCCTGGAGAACAAGGGTCTTATCGATGCTAAAAGACCGAGAGCAGATACCCAGAAGGAACTGTCCAGATTCCCCGTGGCCTCTCTGTGACATGTTCCCTCCTTCCAGGTGTGGGCAGGACACCTTCTAAAGTGCATGTCTTAGGGTTTACTATCAGATAAGGTAGGTCTAGGAATTTCTCTCGGGCCAGCTCTGAGACGGAAAGGCACGGGAAGATTTGAGTTTCTGCGACTTGCCTTACAGAAGAGAAATTCTAGTTTCTATGGCTTGCCTCAGAAGGGAGACATGAGCCAGCACATATATACACACCCTGTAATATCACACCAGTTGGAAACCTTCTCCTGCCAGTATAACCTGGGCCTCTGGGTCCATCTCAGCACCAAGTAGCAGTGAAAAAAAAATCTAAATCCAAAGGGTCATAAAGTCATTTTATAAAAGAAAGAAAGAAAGAAAAGTCCTTTACATTTCCTGAAGGCTCCACATCAGAGGACCACAGCTTGGAGGAAGGACTTCTACTCTCAACACATAGAGACTCACCCTCAAATCTTCTTTACTCCGTTTTATCCCAGAAGTCTATCACGGAGGTGGCCACGCCCAGAAATCCCATTCATCTTTCCCCACCTTCTACCTCCTCCACCTCTTAACTTTTCTAGGGGTAAAGAATATGGGGGAATTGAACCTGGGGCCTTTGCACTGAGATACATCCCCAGCCTCTTTTATCTTTTACATATTTTGAGACAATGGGCACCAAATTGCCCAGGATGGGCTTGAACTTGTGACCCCCTTGCTTCAGCCTCCCAAGAAGGAATTACAGGCATGTGCCCACCATGCTAGGCTTATGTAATTTTTTCATCCTTCTGTGGATAACCTTGTGATGCTTCTCTTCACTCATCACCCAAACAGCACAGCCCAGCAGTTCAACTTCGAAAATCCATTACAGGAAATATTGTAAATACTTACTGTTTTTCTGGTGACGCTGAATCTTACAGCATCCTCTAATCAGAGCCATGGTCAATTCAGGGCAGCAAGGATCCAAAGACTCAACTTCCTCTCTCCTTTTGCTCCAGGGGAGAGCTGGCTGGCCGGGGAAACCGCCTGCTCTCAGGAGGTGGTGTCCACAGTGAGTTACTGGCTCCACATGGAGGCCAGCACCCTCCCTTCTCTCCCCATAACCACTGCTCCCCTAGCTGGAGTCCACAGGCAGACAAGAGGCTCATAAGTTGTTCGGTAAAGGGTGGCTTTAAGATTACTAATTGCATAATATGAGCTGGTGGTACTTAAGGGAAATATGACTCAACTCTACCTAGCAAAAGTTTAAAATCAATCAATCCCAAGTGGGGAGTGTTTCATATGTTCTAGAACCTTCTGGAAAACAAAGACCCAGTCCTGTGTCACTCAGCAGGAAACATTATGAAGGATGTCCTTGAGGCTTGCACAGGTTGAGTAATTTTCTCAAGGACACATATTTGGCTTCATGAGAACCAAGTGTTTTGCTAGCTTTCTGGTTCTCCATCAGAAAACACTCATGGGCTTTGTGCTTTTTTTATGAAGGATCATTTTGAAGTTACCAAGTACAAACATGTGAAAATTGTTCACTCCATCGTGTGGACTTCCTGTAAAACATTTGGGTCATTTCAAACTGAGACTACCTAAAACTCTGCAGCTGCGTCTCCAAAGCAGCAGTAGCTGGGTAACAGGACAGAGTGGGCCCCGTTCAACCCGAGGAGGGCAGGTGTATGTACCATTAAGAAGAAGAGGAGAAATTAATAAACAGCAACATGACAACACCAGAAAAAATCTGAATCTATTAACAGCATATTGTTTTTCTTTTTTGCTTTGTTTTGAGACAGGGTCTCGCTACAGAGTCCAGGCTGGTCTCAAACTCGCTATGTAGCTGGACCTTGAACACACGATCTTCCCATCTCAGTCTCAGCCTCCTGAGCATATGCCATCACACCTGACCAACATTTTCTTTAAAAAAAAAATAGCACGGTGAAAAGAGGAAAAATCAGGAAGCAGTCTCAGAGAATGAAAGTACAAAGACACATTGATGAAGAAATGTGAGTGGTTCCACGAAATAAATATAAAAGAAAAGCCAAGTCAAGGTGAGGGTGCCTTTTCAAGGAATTAGTGATGAAGATCTTTCTTCCTTTGCTGTCTTTGGCTCTCAGGCAGGTACATTCTCTCTCATTTTATACACACACACACACACACACACACATACACACACACACAGTAAATATTGTGAATGTAGCTGAAACTACATCAAAGCTGCTAATCATTTTATTTCAAGGTTGTTCAACTCTGGCAGCTCTAGCTATAACTCCAGACTTCAGAAGGTTTATGTGAAGAGCTGTTGAAATGCTTCGGCTATAGAAGCCACTGGGCTTTTCTGCTTCTTGTCCTTAACTCAGGTGGAAAGTCCTTCTCTTCCTGTCCCTCCCTGAGCTGACCATCTGTGGGAGCATTGGTAGTGCTGAAAAGGGAACATTGGACTGCTGTTCACTCAGTAATTGAAATCCACCTGGTAGACTCCCAGGTGTCAGGAAAACACCGAGTCAGAAACCTGTCCTTGTGGTAATGAGAAGGGTCGGTTCTTGACTCCCTTAAGCAGTTTCAGCTCTACAGAAAAACTGAGCGGGAAGTACGGAGTGCACACATGCCCTCTATCTTTCTCAGTCCCCCTCTTACACCTTGCACTAGTGCGATACATTTGTCAGAACTCAGGCACCAACGCTTTCCTTTTACAATACTGGGGATCAAACCCAGGGGTGCTCTACCACTACACTTCCAGCCCTTTTATTTTATTCTGTTTCTTGAGACAAGATCTCACTAAGTTGCCCAAGCAGGACTCAAATTTGTGATCCTCCTGCCTCATTCTGCCTTAATGCTGGGATTACAGATGTGTGCCACCACACCAACGTCATACATTATTATTAACTAAAGTCTATAGTTAGGGTTCACAGCTTGTTCTGTACATTCTATGGGTCTGGACACAGGTATAATGGGATGTATCCACCATTAAAATATACAGAATAGTCTCACTATCCTAAAATTCCCCTTTGCTCCACCTGTTCATCCTTCCCACTCTCCCTCTCTCTCCCTAAACTTCTACACTCCATTGATCATTTCATTAACTGCATAATTTTGCCTTCTCCACAATTTTATGTAGTGGGAATCATATTTTATACAACCTTTTCAGATATGTTTCTTTCATCTAGCAACATGTGTGTGAGGTTCCTCCATTGCATGTCTTTTCATGGTTTTGATAGAGGGGAAATAATACGCAACTCCCCACCTGCTAGATGTCAGATATGCTAAGTTCTTGTTCTCCAAAATCAGAGAATGAATTTTAAGAAACAATGGAGTTTAAGAGTAGACTTTTTTGAGAGAAAGATAGCTCCTGAGAGACAGGAGGGGACTCAAACGTGGGTTGCCAACAAGCCCACTTCTCAGAGGAAGCAACAAACTGGGCTGGGATATAGCTCAGAGGTAGAGCTTGTGCTTAGAATGCCTGAGGTCCTGGGTTCAATTCCTTGCACCAAACGAGAAGGGAGGGAAAAGCAATAAGCAATCAAGCTATTATAGATAGCTAAATTAGGGAGAAGTATCATAGGCAGCCGGACAGGGCTGGGCCCTCGAAGGAGTCAGTGCAGAGGCTGAGAACACATCACAACTGTGGCTGGAGGTGCATCCCTCGAAGGCAGGCCTCAAGTTAAGGATGGAATGACCAGGCCCGCACGCCTCCCCTAGAGATAAGGGATATATTATAACTGGTAATACAAGGCGGGTACAACATGGGTCAAAACTATGATGGACCAACAAGATGACAAGATCACATAATATTGATCCAATAGGGAAGCAGGTCACGTAGCAAGTGTACGTGGAAAGAAGAAGGACCTTTTTAGGAAGAGATGAATCAGATGGTCCCGGTCATCCACCTGGGTGACTAATGTCTAGCTAGATCTTTTTGGACCAGGTGATACCAATTATAGTATATCACTTATCCCCTGGGGAGGCATGCGGGCCTGGTCATTCCATCCTTATCTTGAGGCCTGCCTTCCAGGGATGCACCTCCAGCCACAGTTGTGATGTGTTCTCAGCCTCTGCACTGACTCCCTCAAGGGCCCAACCCTGTCTGGCTGCCTATGATACTTCTCCCTAACTTAGCCATCTGTAATAGCTTGACTGCTCATTGTTTCCCTCCCCTCTCTTTTGGTGCTAGGAATTGAACCCAGGGCCTCAAGCATTCTAAGCGCAAGCTCTACCTCTGAGCTAGATCCCCAGCCCAGTTTGTTGCTCTTTAATGATCAGTAATATTCCATTGTATGGATGTATCATAGTTTGTTTATTCGTTAACCTACTGAAGGACAGCTTCATTGCTTTGAAGTTTTGACAACTGTGAATAAAGCACATGTAGGTTTTGGTGGAGATCTAAGTTTTCAACTTATGAGAGTAAACATCAAGGAGCACAACTGCTAGCGGTTGGTAAGAGAATGTTTACTTATTTAAGAAACTGCCAAACTGTCTTCCAAGTAGCTGTGCTGTTGGGCATTTCCACCAGTAACACACGGAATCTGTTGCCCCACATCGTGGTCAGTATTTGGTGCTGCCAATGTTTTGGATTTTAGCCAATTCTAGCAGACACAGTCTCACCGATGTTTTAGTATGTGTTTTGCTGAGGACATATGGTGTGGAGCATCTTTTCATATGCATATTTGCCATTTATTTATTTTTGTAACAGGGTCTTTTTGAGACAGGGTCTCATGATGTAGTTCAGGCTGGCCTTGAACTCATTTTGTAGCTCAGGTTGGCCTCAAACTCAAGATATTCCTGCCTCAGTCTCCTGAGTGCTGGGATTACAGGCATGTGGCACCACGCCCAGCCTTGTTTATCTTCTTGATGAGGTACTGCTTTAGGTCTTTTTTTAACTTTTTAAATACAGTTATTTATTTACTGCTGAGTTTGAAGAGTTCTTGGAAGCCAGTCTCTTATCAGGTATGTGTTTTGCCAATATTTTCTCAGCCAGACTGGCCCATGGCCTGTCTTTTCATTCTGTTAAAGACCTATCTACTTTTGTAAATTAAATGTGTTCTCTCTGTTTCTTTGCAAAAGGTCTTCTCTGTTGGTCTGGAAGCTAGAGAAAAGAAAGCGCCTATACAAAAATTCTCAAGGGACCAAGTGGGGTAGCACAAGCCTTTAATCTCATACCTATAATCTCAGGAAGCTGAGGCAGGAGGATCACAAATTGGAGCCCAGCCTGGACAATTTGGCAAGACCCTGTCTGAAAATAAAATTTTAAAGGTTACTGGGATATAGTTTAGCTCTCCCTGGGTTCATTCCCCAGTACCACACACACACACACAATTTTTTTTTTTTTTAATTTTTTAAAATAAAAAGTAACAACAAAACTCTCAAGGGTCTTAGGAAGGAAGCCAAACTAACCCCAGGGTCCTGACACAACCTGACAGTAGCAGACTGGAGTAGAATCCACTATTGACAGCATGAAATCAAAGCTGCCCCAACTTGCACAGAATCTACACTAGGACGCTGTAAGAAGCTCGGCGCTGTGAGCAGAGGACAGGAGCTGCAAGCACAGTGGTGCGCATGTGGCGCTTAGCTGCCGCCTCCCCCTCCGCACCGGGTCAGGAGAAGCTGGAGCGCAGAAGCTGGTGGACCAGCTGGTCCTCATCAGCCACGAGCACTGCATGCGAAACGGACTAATAAATCAAATCTTAGAGAGTTAAAAGGGGATATAGTTACATCTTGCAAATCAGTTCATTACTTTCCATGCTGGCTCATCTCTGGACTGTATTAAAGAGATTGGTCGTCTTACATAACACAGTCCAGACTCCCGGAAGATCACGTGTGAGGCATCGGCCTCGCTCACGCATACACATACACGGAGAGGGCTCGGACGGACCAAGGCAGGGACCCAAGCACAGTCCCAGAGGCCAGCTCTGGGGATTCCATAAGAGGAGCCTGAAGGAAGTCTGTTCCAAACTTCGCTAAGTCTCACGGCTGCCCTGATTCCCCTGCGGAAACAGGACGAACTCGTTGGGCAGGTTTTTCTCATTTGTTGCCTTCTCCGTGCTGCCAAATACAGTCCCAGGGAACGGTGCTTTATCTCTCACCTGCTCTCTTTCCTTTCAGAGGCTGTCTCTATTCGGC